CCTACGACGGTTCTCTGCCCGCACCGGGGAGTGGTGAAAAAGAAGTGTTTTGTACAGGCTCTCCGCCTTGCCTTGTGGTGCTAAAGGAGAGTCACTTTGTCGGTATAGTTTTTTTGCAATACTCAGAGGGTGCCTTGAGGAGTAGGAGTTGGTCTGGTTAATAGACCGAACCACTATAATCTGGTTTTTCATTTACTTTATTGCTTTTTACGTTTCCGCATTTTTTAAATTTCAGTTTTAACACTCTGTGGTTGAAAAACATTTTCTACAAACTTTAAAAGAAAAATTTTATTTCGGTTCAAACTTTATTATTAAGAGGGTTTAAAATTTTTTAAAACTACCAATTCACCCCCCTCTTGGTAGCCGTGGGACATTTACTTAGGCTTAACAACCTAATTACTAGACTCAACAGGGGGGATCATTATTAAAGCTTTAATAGTAATATTATTTTATGTAGATTCTATAGAGTCTGCTTAGCCCTCCCCACCCCCCAACCTTAAAATTAAAAGAGTGTGGCCAAGTATGTTTAGTTTTCTATACATATATAACTGCTTATGATGTGATATATAAACCGCTTGGATATTTTAGTAGGGTAAACATGCAGGAGTCCGGATTTAGATTTTCTTTTTCACAATATAATTTATTGTAATTTACATTGAGTTGTGAAAGTCCTTAAAAGTTTAGCATTTCAAGCACTCGCTACCCAAAAAGAATAAGAAAGGCCCTTTATAAGGAATTTTTTAGTAATTTGGCTGTCCTTCTAGAGGATAAATCATGCAGAGCCCGAAGGAGACAATCCAAAGGGAGACGACTCGGAGGAGGATGATCCATTCGAAGATGAAATGATTGGATTTTAAGACTTGCGACATTTATTAGGATTAAAATCCAAGATGTTGTCGGTGGAGCCTGTCCACAATTACTTTTTTGCAAACCCTGTGTTATATTTATACGACACTTGCCATGGACTTTCTTACTTTCGTGGATTTATATTGATGTATTTACTATTGATTGCATAGTAAAACTTACTTGTTTTTTCTAGGTTTCTTTCTTGCATGTGTGTGACCTATTTTTGCTAGGCTCTTTAAGGATAATCTTTTTCTACTCATAATCAAATTTTAAAATTTTAAGAATTAAATAACATAGAAACCTAATGACATAGGGAATAGTCAAAATCGTCTGGAGTTGTATGCATATTATTACATTTCTTCTCCCTTCTTACTATAAGACACTTACCCACCTGCAGATATAGTTCAAATAATTTGATCTATGAGGATGAGTTGTCAGACCTAGGGAACCTTAGTCTTTTCAAAAAATTATTTTATATAAGCCTCTTTTTTTAAAATTTTAAGCATCCATGATTTGGATCTTTTAATTAGTATACATTGTATTAGAAACCAATTAAACTAAAACTTTAATTACATTTACTCTAGGAGCATTCACCTTACATAAGTCTAGGGCCAATTAGGAAACTCTATAGACGTCAGCCCTACTTCCAAAATACTAAACTACCTACCTATCTTTCATAAAGATTGAACAGCATGAATTTTAAGCTCTTATGTGATTATTTGACTTTTCTTTTTAGGCAGGATATAAGCCCATATTACATTAGTTAAGATACAGATATTAGTGTCGGGTAGAACACTAATCCCACCCTAGGTCTAGGGTTCAAGGCTATTATGTTAGGTGTCTCATAGTATGCCTAAATAGTGGGTAAGTTTTTTTTCTTTCGGGACTATAAATTCAACTTATCTGCGTCACATGGATGATGCTACTTTTATCCTTCCGAATGTTAGTGTGGACTGTGCATGTTGACTAAGCCGAGTTGAGCCCCTTTCATTCCTTTTGAGTAGGAATTCCTAGTCTCCCTTTTGTATGCCAATCCCCCTTATCCGAGAAGAAAAATGTTGGGTCTTTAATTGAGAGTTTTTTTGGGCCCTAGGCTCGAGATGTAATTAACTACGGGGCCTTGTGTCCGTGGGAAATAGAATTTCATAATAAATAAACCCCACTCGAGCTAATGTATTGGGTGGGGGAAACCCTGTGACACTGATCAGGCCGTGCATATTATTACCCATTGGGATGCGTTGGCGAGAGATGCTATCCTCAATGGTTGATCGTATGTAAGATCTAATCTACCCTCCTATTGGCCCGCTTGCGAGGAGCATGGAGGCTTACAATCGTTTCAATTCCTTAGGGTAGTGCAGTCATATACCATCTGCCCTCTATTGCCGCGGCGGATCCCATTTGGAGGTCCACACACACACACACACACACACACACACACACACACACATATATATATAACATATTACTTTAATAACAATATATGCCTTAATGATGAAAATTTAAATGTTTATATAAAAATTTTAGTTATGTGATAGATGGATTGCTATTCTTATCAAGAGCTTATTATTCTTATAATAATTATATAAACTTTTCATTTATTAATGTGACTAATATATTTTATTTAAATAAAATTATTATTATTATTTATCTTTGCTTTATCATCAAGGGCATTGAATAATATATCTTCTAATCATATTAAACAAATATTTATCATGATAATTTAGCTAAATTTTTTTATTATGATTAATATTAAAGCCTTTGAATTTTTTTAGATGGATGCAATATACATTATTTATATATTATCCCCATCTAAAAGCACATTTAAAAGAATTAAATTCCATAATTATCAACTTTGTCATATTTCCACTTTTTTATTGCTATTTTATTAAAAGCTTAAATGCATTTATTTTAGATTATGAATATAATTCTTGTTACAATTACTTGTAATGATAAATTTATTTATTAATTCACTTCATAAAAAATTTTGAATTGATTAAATAATAATTAAAATTTTAGAATATTATTTTATTTTTTAAAATTTATTAACGTGCATTTAAACTCAAATAATTTTAAACAATTTTATGATTTTGAATTTATACAACTCAAATGATATTTTGTATATTTTATCACAATCATATAGTTAAACTCAATCATTTTTTTTATTTATTGTTAAAATTTTAGTAACGTGCATTTAAAATAAGCTTATCTTACACATAAGTCTGTTTTATAAAATTTTCATCTAACTTTAGAATATATATTACAATTTTGAATATTATATATATAAATAGAATGATATGAAGGAAGTGTTATGAATATAAATCTCAAAAATGGGGACAAACCATACAAACCCCCCTACCCGGCGACGCGCTCTCTCAGCCCCAATCTGCAATCCTGATAGGCAACAGAAGGCAATCTCGAATCTCGATGGATGTGGGAGTTGTTCTACATTCCTTTCTTCCTTCGTGGAGCTCAGTGAGTAATTACTGTGCCCAACTCTTCATTGAGATCCGAATGCTTAGCATCCATTCTACGTTTTATAGGCTGGCATACTTCTGTCGTACTTTGTTTACTTAGCGCTAGCCGGCGCCATTCTTCCCGGAAAGAACGTTCCTGGTGCTGTGCTCTCCGATGGCACCCGGTTACACTACCGATGCAACGGTGAGTTCTCGTTAGCCAAAGCTGGCGTTACTTATTGCGTCGCTTTGCATCTTTGAACAGAAACTCGTTTTCTATCTACCGTCGACCCGTTCTTTTGTATCAGGGAATCTTTGGTGCATTTTAATTCAGGTTTACTAATCAGCTAAGTTAGCCCGCCGCTTATCTTTGCTTAAGGAGATAATAGATGAAAAGCTAAGTGCACATTTGGCCCTTAAATTATTCCTTGAAAAGCTAAGTGCGCATTAGACAAACCTTCCGCCAATTAGAATAACCGAAATTGCATTTTGATCCTTTTTAGACCCAACTGCTTCCATGCATATCCTAAAGTCTAATGTCCCGAGCTCCTGATAGTTAAAGAAGTAACTTCCAAGACAACAAGGTTGGGTTTTGAGGCTTGGAATTGTCAATGACAAGGGCGTAGGATATTACTAAAGAAAATTCTAACAATTCATCTTAGCCATTTAACTTCCAAGTTGTTCACTTTTCTTTTTATTTTCATGTAGTTCTAAGAATAGATAGTGCAATAAGACTTACGAATTTTCCCTCTAACCAGGCTGTCTTCCCTTTCCACTGTATTTTATCACATTTGATATGGAATGAACCTTTCGATTATAAGTTGTTAAATCATCAGAGAACTCTTATGTTAGAGAGTTAGAGTTCATGCTTCTCCAAAATTACCGATACATCCACCTGCATGTTGAATTTTTGTGCATCTCATAGCCGATTTGGGGATTTTGTTTACTTTTTTGATCACTTGGTTTTCTCAGGTTTGGCATCACTATTTATACTGATGGCTCTTTTAGGGATTGGCGTTAGCTTGAGATTGATATCTCCTACGGTAATTTTCCTGATTATTGATCCCTGACTATGTACCATATCTGCATTACTCAGAAAATTGTTGGGTTACATTTTGTTCTTCTGTTAAATCTTGATGGCATTATTGGAACTGTTTTTTGCTAACAAAAACAACTGAATGATGCGTACTGTTAGACTTCCTCCTTACAAAATAAGTTCAATTACTTGAACTTACTGCAATTGGAGCAGTAGTTAAAATCCAAAAATGCAATTTATTCTATAGAATCATCCACAATACAATTTTATATTCTAGAATACATTCCACCCTTGGCATCACATACTTTTTGAGTTCCAAATTAATTAACTCTTATTTGAATTGGGAAATCTAAATTCAAATCTGGCTAGTCTTTAGTTCGTAGTGGTTTGATCAACTTTTAGAATAATTCAGTCCATCATTACATGATTCATTGGTTAAAATTCACGATCATGTCTCAATAATACTCTTATCATCATATCATGTAAGTATTCTTTAGTGTTTTAAAAATGCTAAGCCCAATGTGATCCACAAGATTTTTTTTTATAAATATTTAATGCACAAAATGTAATGCAAAGTGATGCTTGTACTAAATTAGAGCACTAATGAGTTATATATGGCATGGTATGCCCATACCATATACACATATGCTATGGGGATATAATATTTACTTATCCAAATTTAAACTACATCAAGGAATAATATTTTAGCAAGATAATGAAATGATGTATGAATACTTAAAAATCAGGAATATACTTGCATGATTAAGTGACCTACTATAAATGGAGAGACAGAGATAATGTGAAGTGAGACTGCAAGAGATATTGTTAAGTTTGGGCATCGAAGAGTATTCTTGAGAAGAAGCTTGTAAGCAAGAAGCTATTAGCATCGACAGCAAGAGCCGGTGAGTGAGCATGAATAAAATAACTATTAAGAAGCTACTAAGTCAAGTTGAGGAGAATGAAAAATTAATGAGCAATGACTCAATGGCTATAAGAAACAATAAGGAATGCCTTGTTATTGTGATATATATTGGATTGAACCATGCAATCTAAACAAGAATTTTGCTATGAGTAGGAGCTATGCACATAGCCCTACAATGCAATATGATGAAGCGGAGAACACACGTGCTTTTCTACGAGCTTGCACTTCATAGGTAAACAATATGTAGGGCTAGCACAAGCGCACTTTTAACAACATTGGTACTCCTTAGGCACTTATTCATTTTAATAACCAAGTTTTAATTTTAGAAGTCATGCTATTGTATATATCTTTGTACTCTTGTATAATGAATCCGTTTGCTCCTTGAGATAACTTAATCCTCTAGTAATATTAATAGATATTTATGAATCTTATATCTCTGAAAATCACATATCATCTACTCGATCTTAATTTTTTTATTCCAAAGCTTTCTATCTTTTAAAATTTTATTCCATTGCTGCAACTCTTCATTTCAAAACAAGTCTCACCTATTAAACTATATCATTGGCAAATAACACACACCAAGCTGTCTCACTTTATTTATTTCTTTATATGGTGAGCATCTACATAATAAATACATAATGATGCATACTTTTTATTGATCCTTTATATAATCACAATCAGAACTCTTACTTTTTTCTAATATTAATCATTCCTACTTCATTTATATTTTCATAACTCTAGTGACATCTATTTCTTTGATCATATTTTATTTGAAATTCCATGAGAGCATTATTTTGTTGCTATTTATATTTGTGCATTAATTTCCATAAAAAAAAAGTTATCTCCATTATAGATCTTATTGGCATGAACTTAAATTGAACTTTTAATGTTAATGAGAGTAATTTATGCATATGCTCTTATATCCTCCTCTCATATAATATTATTTTATGACTTATAAGTTTGTTTCATCTAAAATTTCTCAATTTTGAATCTCGTTAATTCTTAATAATTTGTATTAAAATGTTTTTTTTTTCATTTGGCATCATTTCATCTTTTTGATTTGATTTAAAAAATATTATTACCCAAATTACTTCAATATTTTGCATAACTCCTCAAATCCAATCAGCATTTTTTTTGGATCTTTATACTCTAACATTTTTTAATAAAATAACATAAAGATAATTAAAATTGAGCACCAAAATCGAACGCCAAAATTACCCGAACTATCTTGTCATGGACATTAACAAGTTTTGGATTGCATTTACATTTAACATAAAATTATTGTAGAAGTAATCGAAAAGTTGTCATAAAATATATTAATTGAGATAAAAACTTTTTTCATTAAATTGCATGAATTGAGATAAATACATTTATTTAGATGATTTAGTGTCATAGAATATATTAATTCGGGCTTGTTATGTGATAGAAATGTACCCCTCAAACTTAAGGGAAAATTCTATAAGATGGTAGTGAGGCTTGCAATGCTTTATGGTGCCGAATGTTGGCCTTTAAAAGAGAAGCATAATACTAAGTTAAGTGTGGCAGAGATGAGGATGCTCAGGTGGATGAGTGGCTTTACCCTTAGAGATAGGATACGAAATGAGCATATACGTGAAAAGGTTGGAGTAGCTCCAGTAGAAGATAAGATTAGAGAAAGTCGCCTTAGATGGTTTGGTCACATAAAACGGCGGCCTTGCGATGACCCGATTAGGAGAGTAGAGGTATTAGATTTGACTTATGTTAAGAAAGGTAGGGGTAGACCTAAAAAGACTTGGTTAGAAAATATTAGGAATGACCTTTCTTTATTAGATTTAAACGAGAATTTGACTTTTAATAGGACACAATGGAGAAAAAGGATTCATGTAGCCGACCCCACGTAGTGGGATAAAGGCTTGATGTTGTTGTTGTTGTTGTTGTTGTTGTAGTGTCATAGAATAAGCCGTTCATATTAGTACATTCAAGCAGAATCCACATATGTCAACCTTTTTTGAGGCTTAGCATTGGTAAGAACTAGAACCTCAGGCACTTGTTACAACTTACATTTTAGAATCATAGAATAAAATATTATTGATGCATTGAAGATTTTACCCATTTCAACTCAGTTTTTCTAAAAAAGTACTGCTTTAGGCTTCCAATTGTTGCTTTAATTGTGAATGGAAAATTGCTGTTATCCAAATTTCTACCTCAAAATAGGCCTTAACCATCTGTGATTTTTTTTTAGCTCCACAGTTTGACTGTTTATGGATAAGATATTACTAAATTTCTCTTGGTTATTGCTCGTGCTATCATTGCATACAAATTTTTTTTGCCTTACCATTCCATAAGCCTAACTCTAAACACTAATAAGATGGGCATCCCAACTAATAATCAGCTTCAAGCTTTAATCGAAAATTTTATTCATGTTAGATTTTTTGATGAACTAAAATTTTAATATGTCAAACAAAGAAGATTAGTTCTTTGATAGCTGACTGATATGATGGATATATTACTAGGAGAATCCTGTTGATAAATCATTTTGAGTAACACGTTTAACCTACAGCTTAGTTGAATGTTTACTCAGTTTTGCCATCCACTTTGTGTATTTAGTGGAAAATTTGTATTTTAGTTATATGCTTAAATGGAAAGTGCTTTCTTTCTGAAATCATGCAGATGCTATATTTTTTGGTATGCAACTAATATGACCTGGTTCTTTGTGTTAAAACAGGTCATAGCTGACAGGGGAGCTCAGCTATTTTCAGTTACGTTTATATTCAGTGTGATTGTAAGTTTACCACAAAAAGTTTCATTTCGTATCACGCCATGCCCATCCTGATTTAACTTGATTATATACCATATTTTCATTTTCTTATGTATAGTCCTCATTGGTTTCATGGAGTGATATTTTTTCGCACCCTTCCATTGTTAACATTCATAACTAGTTTAGTTCCAAATGTTTTACAAACCTAATAATACACACTGACACTTGTAGGATGGCATTGCTGCGCCAGTACTGTTGATAAGACAATTATTTCTGTTTTGCTTCGCTGGTCATTTTATTATACCAACTAGCATTTGAAAACTAGTAAAAGGGTCACTTTGCCAGTGATTTGCTGAAATTTGAAATTTTTAATTCCTAATGGTGTTCATAAACTCTCTTATAAACAGCCAATATCTCCAGAGCTATGCTTCTTAGTTCCAGATGCTCAATGTTCGAAAGAAGCAACAACGTTAAGTACATTGCAAGATATTCATGCAAAATGAACTGGTTTCATTAGTCGTTTGCGTGCTTGAGAACGAAAAAAAAAGTTTCCATGGGAGCTATTGCACAAACTTATATGAGCAAACATAAGATGTCTTTAATGATATTTAAGCATGATCGTCATCATCACATTAGCCTTATCTCGACTACTTAGGATCCATTTCTCAAATTTCATGCTCCATTAATTTCTTTTTAAGTGCTTCGTAAAGTGTGGCACCTTTAATTTGTGCAAATCTTTTAAAACAATTTTTAGTTTTGTTACTTATGATCTAACATATTTTTTTTTCTGGTCCTCCCATTTTAATTTTCCTATCTTTTTATTTGGTGATCTTCTTCTTCCATTACATATGCTCAAATAATAATCATATTTTCAATTATTGCTACTTCCAATATCTCTTTAAAATAATTATTTTCATAATCTATCCTTTATAATCTAGAATACATTCACCTTATTATTCATAATTTGACACACTCGATTTGACTACAACAACAACAACAACAACATCAAGCCTTTATCCCACTACGTGGGGTCGGCTACATGAATCCTTTTTCTCCATTGTGTTCTATTAAAAGTCAAATTCTCATTTAAACCTAATAAAGAAAGGTCATTCCTAATATTTTCTAACCAAGTCTTTTTAGGTCTACCCCTACCTTTCTTAACATAAGTCAAATCTAATACCTCTACTCTCCTAACCGGGTCATCGAAAGGCCGTCGTTTTATGTGACCAAACCATCTAAGGCGACTCTCTCTAATTTTATCTTCTACTGGAACTACTCCAACCTTTTCACGTATATGCTCATTTCGTATCCTATCTCTAAGGGTAAAGCCACTCATCCACCTGAGCATTCTCATCTCTGCCACACTTAACTTAGTATTATGCTTCTCTTTTAATGGCCAACATTCGGCACCAAAAAGCATTGCAGGCCTCACTACCATCTTATAGAATTTTCCTTTAAGTTTGAGGGGTACATTTCTATCACATAACAAGCCCGATGCATTCCTCCACTTCAACCATCCAACTTGAATTCTGCTGATAATATCCCCATCTATTTCACCATCACTTTGAACAATTGATCCAAGATATCTAAAACGTGTACTCTTATTAATGACTCGATCGCCCAAAGTCACAATCCCTTCAGTAGGTCTATTACTACTAAAATTACACTCCATATATTCCGTTTTAGATCTACTCAAGCGAAAACCTTTAGACTCTAAGGTTGACCTCCATAATTCAAGTTTACCTTCAACTCCCTCTCTAGTCTTATCAACAAGAAGAATATCATCAGCAAAAAGCATACACCAAGGTACATCCTCTTGCAAATGTCTAGTGAGAACATCCAAGACTAAAGCAAAAAGATATGGGCTTAAGGCTGATCCTTGATGTAACCCAACCGAAATAGGGAAATACTTGGTCAATCCACCTTGTGTTTGAACACAAGTAATAGCTCCTGCATACACACTCGATTTGACTATTAGTGAATTTTTTATTTGCATAAACTTAGATTCATATAAGATAGCATAACATAGTCAGTCTTGTTGCATTTGTTTCATTTATCTTCAAGTCTCCATGATATTCTTATTTTGTTCATAGTAGTTATGCGACCATCTTAAATTCATTGACTAACACGTTTGGACTAGTTTTTTCATTGTTTTATTTATTTATTATTGCTGCATACTTTTTGTCAACTTTTTTTAGGCTTTTCAGAAATTTTTGTTGTAAGAAGTATCTTTTTAAATCATCTCTACTCTAGTGTGGTAGTTGTAAGAAAGTTCCTGTTAAAGTAAAAAAAAAAACTATAATACATATAATAGATTTTTTTAAAAAACTGTTTTTATCATAACACTTTTATAATTATTTTTATAAATAGCTGCAACTACCCTAAATATATCCTAAGTCATAAATTAAAAGTTCTATACTCATCAATAAATTCGATCCTCAGTATAATAGATATAAGATCCTAAAACTGTCATCCAAGACTACTTGATGTTCCATCATTATTGACTTACAATTATCTTCAAAATTACTAACATTATCTTTTATTATAGTTATCCTAAGCCTCTTCTCTTCTAAAAAATTCCTTTATTATTTTCGATTTTATCTTTATTTCAGTAGTGATTTTTCCGATTAAAATTTTGTCATCTATAATGAACATACACTATGCACCCCATTTTGAATTTATAACCATATTTGTAACCAATATAAAAAGATATTGATTTAATGTTATCTTTGATGCAATCCTACCATAATTAGCAATGCTTTTGTCTCTCTACAATTAATGCTAGATCATTTAAAAACTTCATTATGCCTTTGACATACATACTCTCGTAATTTGCAATAAATTAATATTCATGATACTTGATCATATGTTTTCTTAAGATCAATGAGGATCATAATATTTTCTTTATTGTTCTAATTTCTTGATCTTACATATATTTAATAACTTCATCATGCCTTTAAGATACATATTTTCTTAATTTATAAATTAATATTCATGATACTTGATCATATGTTTTTTTAAGAATAATAAAAATCATGTATATATTCTTTAATTTTTTAATTTTTTGATAATTTTTATAGCCCAAAATGGATTCTGTAATGGATCTTCATAGCAAAAAATTAAATTAGTTATTCGATAGTAACATTATTTTTCTAAGCATTGGTTCCATTACTCTCTCCTATTACTTCATTTTAATACTCTTTTATTTGATTCTCATATAATAAATATAGTCCAAAACTCCTCTTTTGCTAATAGATATTTGTACCAAAATATTTATCCTCTAATAATTTAGCATCTTGTTAGTCTTTAAGACTTTTTTTATGAAGATTTCCTTTACCGAAGCACTCTAATATATTTCATAGCTCTTCAAATCTAAATAATTATCTTATATGATTGTAAAGCTTTAGTTTTATGCATCTTCTTGAGACTTAAAACAGCTTCACTTTTTAGATCAACATATGATATCTATATACTTTGTAGGAAGGCAGAAAGAAAGAGAATGTCTATCATTTGAAAGCCTAACATTAGGAGAGGCCTCCTTTTCAAAATGGAGCATTCTCAACCTTTATGATTATTTTTGTTCTTTTAGTGGGAGGGGATAGCATTTTTTTATTTCAGGCTAAAAACTATGGAAAAAATGGCAAGTTATTTGAAGCCAATCTATATGATATCCACTCAATCTTATTTATATATCATTTTCTATTTTAATTATTTCATTTTCTTCTTTATTAATATAAAATCAATTTAAAAAGAATTTATCTTTTTTATGTCCCCATTAGGAGAGTAGATGTATTAGGTTTGGCCTATGTTAAGAATGGTAGAGGTAGACCTAAAAAGACTTGGTTAGAACATATTAGAAATAACCTTTCTTTATTAGATTTAAATGAGAATTTAACTCTTAATAGAACAAAATGGAGAAAAATGATTAATGTAGCCAACCCCATGTAGTGGGTTAAAGGCTTGATGTTGTAATTATTAAAAGGTTTAAACAACTTTTAAATATAATTTAAATACTAAATTGACAAAGAAAAAAAAAGTTTTAATTTCAAAATAGGACTATCTTTATTTTCAATGCTTTTTTTTTGGGGAGAAGTTATTTTATATTTAAAGACTAAAGTCACGAGAAAAAAGGAATCTGTTGTTTATCTGATTCATTTAATATGCATAACTTAATCAATATATTATGTGGTTTAATCAATAAATATTACTCCATGTTTTTTTCCTTATTTAATATAAATAATTAAATTATATATAAATTTACTTCCTAATTATTAAAATGCTTTAACTAATATAAAATCTAATTTTAAGAATTCTAATCTTGGCATAAAAAACGGATACAACTTTAATTCATGACCCAACTTCAATTGCTAGAATTTTTGAATAGATTTTTTGAATAAATGTTTGTACCAAATTATTAATTAAATTCAATTTTTTAAATAAACAAAAATTAATTTGGCATACTCTGGAAATCATATAGCAATTTATAAATTTTACCTTTCAAAATTAGGCTATGCATTATAAGTAACTAGTCCTATGCAATAAATAAGGGAATACAAAATAATTTTTTTTTTAAATTTTTTATATCCTTTTCAATCTATATAGTTATTAAAATTGCCAGAAAATGAAATGGAGTTGTTTAGCTCTCAACTTTCGAACCTTCCCCATTTGAATAATGGAGCCCTATTTAGAGCCCTTTTGAGGGGGCATGACTTTGATTTAATAAGTTCTCAAAATATCATTTTCATTTATCAAATATTTATATATTTTATCTCATATTAAGCAGTATTAATAATCAAACTTCAATACTATCTAATAACTCAAAAGGGGCAATTGATATATTAATTTCAATTTATGTGATGCCTTCACTAATGTTTGCATATATGTGAATGAATGTATTATCACAACTTTTATAATGATGAAGATTTAACAAAATTTGTAAAGGGCAATTAAGTTAATGAGCTTTTGTGTTATGGTATTTATTATACTTTATATTTCATTCATTCCAGGTTACTCTACTCTTGTACATTACTGGATGCAAGTCTCACGATAACAGCTCGTCGCTCAGAGCACGAGCCACAGGAAACTTTATTCATGACTGGTAACAAGGAAATCATTTTCTTATTAAATGTTTTGATAATATTGTTTTATTTAATAGGTTGTCTCTCTGTCACAAAAAAAAAAGTTTAAGCTTCAAGAACTGTTATGTATTTTCAATCATCATTTGAGTAGATCTAAAATCAAATATATGGAGTGTAATTTTAGTAATAATAGACTAGCGGGGGATTGTGACATTGGACAATCAAGTCATTAATAAGAATACATATCTTAGATATCTCGGGCGTATTGTTCAAAGTGATGGTGAAATAGATGGAGATATTATTAGTAGAATTCAAGTTGGATGGTTGAAGTGCGCGAATGCATTGGGCCTACTGAGTAGTAGGAAGTACCCCTCAAACTTAAGGGAAAGTTCTGTAAGATTGTGATGAGCATTTAATGCTTTATGGCGCAGAATATTGGCTATTAAAAGATAAACATAAAATTTAGTTAAGTGTTGATGAGATGAGGATGCTTAGGTGGATGAGTGGATTTAGTCTTATAGATAGAATACGAAATGAGTATATACATGAAAAGGTTGGAGTAGTTCCAGTGGCAGAGAAGATTAGAGAGAGTCTCCTTGGATGGTTTGGTCACATAAAACATCTGCTTTCGGATAACCCGATTATGAGAGTAGATGTATTAGATTTGACTTATGTTAAAAAAGTTAGAGATAGTCCTAAAAAACTTGATTAGAAAATATTAGAAATGATATTTTTTATTTGATTTAAATGAGAATTTGACTTTTAGCAGGACACAATGGAGAAAAATGATTCATGTAGCTGACCCCATATAGTGGGATAAATGCTTGATGTTGTTGTTGTTATTGTTGTTGTTGTATGTGTTTCAATCATATTCTCGTGATCCAATATATTGTATGTTAGGTAAACCTGTTGTTAAATGTAGGTAGCTTGTTCTTCCCTTTTACATCATGACCTTATTTTGTCCTCTATTGATTTCCATCAACTATGTTAAATCAGGCCATTCATCCTTATTATTCTAGCTCCTCTTCCATTTCGTATGACTCTTGTACAGCTTCCTCATGATAGCTATAATTAACATAGATGAAGATAATAGAGCTGGTAGTTATAAACTGTATAGAATCCTATTTAATCAAAAATATAAGCAACAATTATGGAGGCAGAGCGTGGCTGGTAGAGATGTTGCTAGTATCATTGCACAGCATGTTTGTTTGTTTTTTTATGCACCCAATGGTGAGGGTTTTTACTAGGAATGAGCAGTCGTCGGCTATCATTATTGTCCATTGTGTCTCCAACATAATCCAAGTTAGCATAGGTGTGTTGATGTAAATTATCATTGTATGTTGGTAGACTCCACTGAGTCCTTTTTAGGAATCACAATTGCCTTTTAAGATGATGATAAGTGTAGGTTGAGGGGTTGGCGCATCCATTGACATAGTTTATTGACTATGAAGGTGAGATACCGCAGTGAGCTTATTAGGTGGTGTTAGAGCTGAGGATTATTTTACTTGGATTGGTTGCCAGCTGTGGGTGGGAGAAAGTTTTCTGGATGTGGGATTTTGGAGACTTGCAATCACATATCCTCCTGCACAGAAGAATATCAATGACATATTTGAATTGCTTTAGGAGTAAGCTATATGAAGTTTTGATTACCTGTATGCCCATAATTAGTTGAATAAAGCCTAGCAGATATTGAATTTATGTTATAGCAATTTATAGGGGCTTCTAGACTATTTCCATTGAGGTGAGTGCCATCCTCATATACGAGAATGCATAGCATGATGTTATTTTTCATTTAGAGCATTTAGGAAGGGATTGACGATGCTTGCGATAAATTTGAGAATGTGTAACCATTATCGAGACCTCTGCTTGAGTTCATAAAGAGTCTTTTTTGAGAAGACATACATGATGCGGGTATTGAAAATCTTGAAAACCTTGGGGTTGAGTGATATACATGATTTCGTTAAGGCGGTTCATAAAATTGTCATAATCATCCAATTGTGTGATTGACCACTTAAGATGGGCGGCGACGGTGATTAGTTATCAGACTGCGGGCATTTTGATGACAGGGCTAAAGGTACAAGTGTAGCCTATACTATGCTCACGTTTATATCCTTAAGTGACTAAATGTGCTTTATACATGGTGATTGTACCATCAAAGTGGTATTTGGTTCGGTAGGTCTATTTGTAGTTGAGGATGTTTTGGTTGGGAGAACATGGGAATAAAACCCATGTTCCTGGAGAGAGGCCTTGGACTTCCTTTGACACAACTTTCTACTAATTTGCATTCTTCATGACAATATAGTAGTAGGTGAGATCCATTGGAGTGGTAAGGGAGATCGAATACTTTTTTGGGGTTTTAAGCGGCCAGTTTGAAGATGGGTAACCATTGAATGGTTTGATTGTGGGGGTGGTTGAGGATTGGGTGAGATTGGGGATTGAGAGTGTGGAGAGCTAGAATTAGTAGCTACACTGGGTGTGCTTTATTGGGATGCATGGTTGAATGGGAGGGCTCTACTGCGGTGTTTGAAAAGATATGCAATGAAGTGAAGTCGATTTTGTTAAGGGAGAAGGGAGAGTGGCGATGGATTTGAGTTTGGCGTGGTACCTTTGTGGGATAGTATTGGTATGAGAATATAGACTCATTGAAGCAGACGTGGTTAGAGATGTGTGTTTGACTAGGAGAGGGTTGTATCATTTATAGTCCTTGTGTAAGATAGTATATCCTAAAAATATTCAAGGTAGTGAGCAAGGTAGGGGGTGGGAGAGGTGTTGCAATTATGGTTAGCATAGGCATCCAAATAGTTTGAAATGAGCATATTGAGGTTATTGCTAATGGAGGAGTTGATGGCAGGATTTGTTGTTTGTAGTTGGGGACAAAAGCTGTTGATGAGATCCATGACAATGAGAATAGAGTTTGTCCATAGTTGGGGTGCAAGGTTGATAATGAACATAAGGGCCCATGTAGTCTCAAGTATATGAGGTGGCTATGTCCAACCAATCCATTTTGTTCAGGGTCATAGGAGTTGTTGAATTTATGAAGGATTTCAGTGGTTGAGAGATATTATTGAAGGGTGATATATTTGTATTCACAGCCATCATCAGATCATAATATTTTGATTGAGTGGTTTACTTGTTGTTCTGCCATTATATTGAAGTGAATAAATTTTGTTGTAGTCTCATTTTTGCTTTTTATAAGATGGATCCAACAATAATGAGAAAATTCATCAATGAAAGAAACATAGTATTTGTAACATTGTATTGAAATATTTAGAAAGGGTTCCTATACCTAGAATGTATAATTTCTTAGAGTGTGGAATGATGGTGTTGAAAATAGAAATAGATAGCTTGCAACTTTTTTGCTAATTGATTAGGAGTACAATAATATTTTTTGATTGCACATTAAATTGGATTGATTTTGGCTATAACTAAGATGGTGGATGCTTAGTGATGTCTAAGTCTAAACTTATGATAGAGTGGTTGGAGACAAGCATTGTAGAGGGATGTAGTGGAGAGGATATAGAGGATTATCAGATGGGATAAAGGTTATATTATGATAGGGGTCTATGGAGGGGGACTTAATTTTTTGTTGGTCCTTGACTGCATAGTTGGATGGGAATCATGAGTTATTAGTAGCAAGTTTGTTGTTGGACAGAAAATTATAGGAGAGAGTTGGGACATGAACATACTTATCAATCGAGATTAGTGCACCATAGTGCAAAGGTTTTTGGAGCCATAGTGCATAAAGCATGGTGCTGGGCATGTGATGCGTTCCGCCTCTGATCAGCAGAGGGGGGGCCGACGACAACCACGCGACCGGAATCGGCGGGGGAGGGAGCCTCGTCGTTCGGCCAGTCGAAGGGAAGCATGGGGCGAGGCGGAGCGGGCGGGGGGTTTCGGCCTTGAGCGGAACCGGTCCAATCCTGGACCGGTTTGGCTCGGGTCAGCCCTGAGCTGGGCGGTTCAGTTTGGGCAGCCCACTAGTGGGTTTGGTTGGGTCTTTTGCTTGCTATAAGTAGGGATTAAGGGGGGATTTCTAGGGTTATGCAAGATTTGAGTTTTCTCTTAGCCTCCTTAGTTTCTTTCTCTTGTTTTTCTAGGGTTTGTAGTGGGAGACCTTGTCCTTCTCGAAGTGGACAAATTGTATCTTGTTTCTCTTGGATTTTGAATGCAAATGTTCTTGTTCTTCCTCTCATCCCTCTTGTGTTGATTTTTTTCTAGGATTTGGAGGAGAAATTTCATCTTGAAGGAAAATTAGGGCAAACCCTAATTTGTGAAACCTAAGGCGTATCAAGTTGGTATCAGAGCTCTCGATCCTAGACGGCATGGCATCAAAAAAGGTAGAAGTTTTGGAGGGGGGGAGATGAGCCAATTGAAGGAGGAAGTGGGGGAGAAGCTTTCGTCGTTGGAAGGAAAATTCTCATCCCTAGAGGAGAGATTTGGGGGAATGGAAGAGATGATCCGTAAATTGGTAGACGCCCAAGTTGCTCAATCAAATCCGAAGGAAAAGGGGAAATCGCCGATGTCAAACCCTAACCCTAATTTCTCAATTAGGGAAGATGGAGCAAGCCAACCGGGGGAAGCCATGCAAGCACCACCTCACATCTCGTGCCAAGAGCTTTGGTCAAGGGAAGGGTGGGAGGCATCCGGCGTGGGTGGTGCCCCGTGGGAGG